CAAGAGAAGCCAAGGAGAGAGGCTGCGTGCCTGCGGCCCTTGCCCCCTTGCCTCGCCCTCGCGTCCCGGCTGGAAGAGGGGCTCCGCTTGCTCCGGGGGCCGGACCCGCCTGTGCCCTCCCACACCTCCCGCTCGCCCCTCGGCAGCTCCTGGGGTCGGGAAGACGTTCGGCCCCGTCTCCCTCGGGGCTCCCTACCTGCGTGTGGCGGCTCCCCGTGGCCTGCGAGCTCTCTAGCCGTGGCAGCCTGTCCCCACGGAGGGACGAGGCCTGGCTCCGTCCGCCCTGCGGCGCTGCCTCCGGCTGCTGGCGTCCCACCTGCGGGCAGGAGGAGGAGGAAGATGAGGAACGCGATGGAGGCGGCCGCCTTGGCGCAGCGGTCCCCACGGTGCCGGCAAGCCCGGCACCGAGGCAGCCCCGTGTGGCCCCGTCCCTCACCTGGCTCCTCTTCTGCAGGCTCGGCAGCCTGTCAGCGGGCTGGGAGCGGGCGTTCGCCTCCTCGTCCATGGGCATCTTCGGCGTCCTCTGCCGCAGACCTGCCATGGGCACCCAGGGGAGATGCTGCCTCCTGAAGGAGCTGCTCTCCTGGGAGTGGGAGCCCCAGGGCTCTCGCTCCTTATATACCCCCGAGGGGACCCGTGTCACAATGGCCTCTGGGCACGACGAGGTCCCCGCATCACAAAGCCCTGGTGGTCACTGTGGAGATGACCGGGACCGGGCCCAGACCCGGGCCTGGCTGTGCCAGCAAGTGTCCGGGCAGCACCGCAGGGAAGGGGTTCCTCTGGGCCCAGGGGAGGCCGTGCCTGGGCACCGGCTGCCCGGGTCCAGGCAGACATGGGCAGCATGGAACGAGGCTGGTGGGGTCCCCAGACGGGCAGGAGCTGGAGCGCCGGAGGCATTGGCAGAGGCCGTGGGCACGGGGGCTTTTTCTGATGCCTGCAGGTGCCCACAGGACAGGGAGGTTGGGGAGATGATGGTGCCAGACCCTTGACAGAGGTATCTGGGCAAGAAGCAATTTCTGTTAGCGTTTAAGGAGAGTAACTTCCTTGTGTCAGTGGTTCAAGCACTGCTAGAGGGGCCCAGGCAGACTGTGGGATCACCGTCTTTGCATTTACTCAGACTCTGCTGGGAGACGTCCCTATGTCTGGTCAAAGGGTTTTGTTAAACTGCATATGAAACGGGCAGTTTAGATCCCTCTTTCACGTGCCTCCTGATTTGAGACCCCTGCAGCACACCCTGTCACATCCTTTCCACCCAGGGCTGAGGAGGTTCTCTGCCTTTGCAGCCATGGACCCCAACCTAGGAAGTAGCTGGGCCCATGTGGACCAGGAGGGAAGCCCAGGCTGTGCTTGGCTCATGCTACACTACAGCTTCAGAGAGCTGGTTTCTAGCAAGATTAAGTTGTTCTCCCTTTGCTCCATTTTCACTCATAAGCTTCGCATGCCAGCTGTACACAGAATAGACAGGAGCACAAGGTGATTTCCCATCCCCAAAGATGAATCAAGAGCTCTGTCCATATTCCAGCTCAACTATATGTTCCAAACCCCAGGCCCACCTCCCTGTCCTTCCTCTGCTGCAGCTCTGGGGACATGAGGCCATCACTTGGGTCAGCTGTAAGAACCCCAGCGCTCAGTGGCTCGGAGGCTGCAGGATGGGTAGGGGAGCATTAAGCGGCATCACTTACTTCCCACTTCCAATTCTGCTTCTGGAAACTCTTGTCAGCTTCTCACTCGATTCCTCCAGTGCCTACATATGCAAGAGGAGCAGAAGCATCAGAATCTCTTGCACAGGACCACTGCCACTGGGGTCAGTGTTTTCCCCACAACAGGGTATGTTCCTCAAGAGAGATGAGAAATTTTCGTAGCAGCCAGGAGACAGTCAACTCCCTGGCTCCAGGGAGATGGCTCACCTAGCACAGCCCTCGGCAGCCTTTTATACTAGGAAGGACCATGACCTGCTACAGCACCAGCTGGGCTTTGGCACAGTGCAGCTGGGATTAAGACTGCCACTGAGGCAAGATCCCAGGCTCACCTCCCAACACATCCAATGGAAGCACAAGCTCCGAACCTGGATCGTGATTCCTGGGGTCCAAGCTCAGTCGTGATTCTCTAACGGATTCTCCTCCCTGCAGCAGCAATCCTGGACCCCTTCTCACATTTACACTTGCAGCTCATCCTGAAACAGAGCAAGGCTGGAGGCTGGCGTCCTCTCCCGTGTCAGTGTCCAGGCCCTGCAAGAATGTGAGCTGGACCTCTTAGTCTGTGGCACTCACCTTCCCTGCAGTCGACATATCAGTTTCTCAGGCTGAGGAACAGCTCCAGCCTAAGCAGAAACAGTCGCAGACCACAGGATGACCTTTCTGGTAATGCTGGAGCACTCCTTGTGGCAGGGCAAGCAGGGCAGCCTACAAATCCTCAACTGCACACCCTTCCCCTCACACGCCAAAGGGATCAACCTGTCTCCAAGTGCACAGTGAAATGCTATGTCTCCCTCCGACTCCCACCCTACTGTGAGCATTGCGGCCCGTTCCTGCATCCCTTTTACCTCGCACGGACAGCTGAGAGCTTAGTGTTAAGAGAAAGCACCCAAATTCCCACATGGTGGCTGTAGACCTGATAACATGCTCCTGACATCATCACACACCCTGGGTCCAGCATCACCGGTGACTGCTTCTCTCCACCCACTTCAGCCTGTACTCTCCAAACCTGCATTAGTGCACCTCCTCCACTGCTCTCATAATTTAGTCCCTTATCTCTTGCCTTAGCAACTCTTAAGCCTCTTATTCTTCCCATCCCTTCTACACCCCATCTTATACCAGTCACCAGGCTGGAGCATGCACCTGGCTTCAGATGCAAGATTACACAGGAGCCACTGCATCACACGCTATTTTCATCCCGTCTGGAGGTACTTTTCCTGCACAGGCAGCACTTGCTGCCAAGAGCACAGCTCTCCATGCAGCTAGCCAGCGGGACTGCAGCTCACCAGCTGGGAGGCGCTGCAAGAAAAGAGGTAGTTCTGCAGGCTTCTCTGTTGTTGATACAAGGGAAAAACTCACAACAGCAGGCAGTGTACTCCCCTTTCAAAACTAGCAACACACAGGCGCAGGAAGAAGGCATTTAACTTAGAACAATCTGATTTTATTGGTGCAAACATTAGAACTCTAGGTGACTGGAAATATTCACAAGTACTCAGAGGAAGTTGTCCGAGATGAAGGGATGCAAACAGCCAACGGCCCCCACTGCCTTACTCGCTCCTACTGCGATGTTCCCATTCTGGAGTTTACTCTTCGTGGATGTTGAAAAGCTTTGCTACTTCATTGAGATCATCATGCTCCTCCCCATCTTTGATGATCTGAAGGAAGGAAGAACGCACGCATTAAAACCTGCACATATTACAAACAACCAGTGCTGCAAGACTGTACATGGTCACCAGCCAATGTGATGAATTTCTTAACTCCTCTCTGCAGCTCTGCTGACGACAACTCACCAACTTAGGCAGTCCACGACATGACAACAGTACTTACTACAGCCAAATTTATATGGGAGTCTCAAACGTAGCATTATCTGCCTACAGGAATGGCTGGAGTTAAAACCAGCCTCCCTGTCCCTGTAGGATTTATTTCTGATGTCTGGGTTTCCCTTTACAGCTGGGGAGAATGAGTATCTTGAAAAAGTGATTCATCTCAACTCTGAGAAGATGGGCCAGTCTCTCTGCACTGACTTAGAGGAGCCAGTATAAGTGGCTTAAACTTGCAAACCTATCTTTTAGACAATGAGACTAAGAGGCCAAGGACCCTGTACACACTTGGCGCTCTCATTTAGAGGAAGGGTTGCTAAAAGAAGGAAGGAAAGGATCTCTCTTTCATGAGGATGGGAGAAGTAACAGGTTTAAACTGCATCATGAAAGTTTCAGATTAGATACCAGGAAACTTCCAACATTAAGAATAGTTCAATTTGGGACAGATCACCTGGGGATAGTGTGGAATCACTTTCATAGTTTAAACTACTGAAATTCTCCAAAGATATTAAAAAATAACCTAAGTATAGCTGATCTTACCTTGGAGGATGGAGACAGGCTATGGGGGATGGAGACAGACTAAGCACCTACGCAAGGCTGCTTCTAACCCTGACTTTTTGTGGCTGTGTATCTAGGATGATAGATGTTTAAGACTGTTTTAGACTCTTGTACATTAGACAAAGTAGCACAAAAATAGGACATTTCACTCTGATGCTCAGTCGCATGTGCCTGTACTTATTACAGACCTGAAATTTCAGCCATGTAAAGGCAAGGCTTGAAGCATAAATCTGATTCAAGTTGTTTCTGTAAGAACTTTGAACAAACATGCAAAAAAGCACAAGGACATCTCCCATAATTCACCCAAGACAGGGCTACCATGGGATATTGCACAGTTCTGCTCCAGACAGAACATCTGTATTTATTTATCCTCATTGTAAATTGGTAGATTGATTTTTCCACAAGAAAATCCCCAATCTAAGCAAGCCTCACTGTTCAGCATACTAGTCCTGTACTGACCTTTCGAGCAATAGGCATCCTGTTGAAGATGTTCCATAATACGATTCCTACCACAACTTTATCCCTGAGGTAGAAAATGACACCTTTGCCATAATCTTCTCCTTGCTTTGGAACTTGAGGCGTTGGTGAAAAGCTTGGAGAAATGTGAACTTCTGAGGCTTCTGCTTCTGTTTCACTCTCTGATCGAATACCTGTCCCTAATGCAAAGATATGAGATATCAAACATCCGGTGCAGAAAAAAGCAGCAGCTGTTTTCTGTGATGGTGAAAGCAGACTACACAGCAGGGTTCTGCAAGAGACTGAGGTGTTTTTCTTTAAGTTGCGTCCAGCAAAAGTTAAGTTTCAATAACACGAGAACGAAGCAATCCTAACATGAAGCACAACACTGAAAATTCCCAATTTCCATCACCAAATGCAAAGGACAGAGCAGTCTACTTCTTCCAGGCAGCATATACAAAATAAATACGCTTAGATCCACACAAGCTCTTTTGTGCAAAAACTGATCACTTTATTGCTATGGAGGAAATTAAGCTTCACTGGCAAAAAGTTTTAATTTTGGTAAATGAGTTACATGATGTCTTCTTGGAGGAACACTATGTTTTAATCACATTTTAATATCAAAACCAGCCTTTAAAGCTTTGTCTAGAAAAAGCAGCAGATTGATGTCTCCTAGTGCTCTACAGTGAGATCAGACTGATTCTGTGGCCACTACACAGAGCGAGACACAAAAACCTTCATGCACAGACAGCTCCCAAGCATAACTACAGCCCTACCTGATTGCTCCGTTGCACTTTTCGGTGTATCTTTTGCTGTTGCTTTAGCAAAGACTCCTACTGTTGGCAAACTACTGTCAACAAGGCCAATGGCTTCGTACCCCACATTAGGGCCTAGATCGCTCCTAGGAATGAAGGCGGGGGGGGGGGCATAATTTGTAGCATTAGTGAGACAAATACAAGGCAATTCCATCCAGCCCCAAATCCCTTAATGACAGCGTTGTGCAAGAGAGAGGTCATGGTACGCAGGCTGACTGACACACTTCAGTCTTCTCTGCATACGTTAGGGTGGAACAAGGAGTCAAGACACAGCAAATCTAAGGCCATCCACCTGTTTCAGAAGAAACCAGTTCAATGAACAAAAAATACTTAAGGCCTTCTCCCTTGAAGGAAGCTGGGTGGCTTCCACGAGCTGCACATATCTCAACCCTTTATAAAGTCACACATCTGACCTCAGCATTCAAATGTGAGCATTGGGACACGCTTAGTAGGTACTTGCAAAAATCTTCTATGTTGCTTGCTCAGTACAAATGTGACTAGGAGACAGAGATGGGGTAGAAGCAAGTGTTCCTCCAGGTCCTAATAAGACCATTTGGCCCACCTTCTGGCAATGCTGAGTTATAAGCACTACGCTGTGCAGCACAGACAATTATTTAGTGTGTATTTCAGAGAGAGCATTTAAAGAAGATTAAAGAGAAGAACACACTGCTGTAACACCTCCTTGAACTGGACACCTGCTGAATTTGAACTGGGGTGCTTATAGGAGACAAAGCAGCTGGGGTTTGGGGCCCAGTAGTACAATGTGTCAAAAGTGTTCCCAACTATGCTGCAGAAATAGATGCATCACAAAAAACAATTTGGATATCTCTGTATGTACATCACTACCTTCCTGGCCAGAATCCTCCAGCATGGACTGGGGTTACTGAAAGGAATACCAACAACATGCCAGTTAACATGAGTAGGCACCCAGCTGTGGGTAAGTCAGAGCTCAGGAGGTGACCTGAACACCCTGAAAAAAATGTAAGAGGAGTTCCTGCCATTTCCCAGCTTTTTAGCGCAGGAGAAGGAAGTCTCACTCAGTGAGGGCTGGCAAATCCTCAGAGTTAACAACTGTCAACAAAACACAAGACTGCAACTCACAGTCCCCCAATTGCCTGTGTCTGTGTCATGGCCAGAGTATCCTGAAAAAATACACACAATTGAAATGGGATTCTTCTGTGTCCTTGTTTAAAAGTGAAGTGAGAAACTTTTCTGAGTCCAGAGTCCATGCAGTATAGACCAAGTGTTCAGGGAAATGACAGCAAGCCATAAATAACTATTATTGAGGGGATTTCTCTAACAAAAGTAAAACTCTTTTCCCTGTATTTAAATTCCCACTAACTTTAACTTTCTGATCTTGAGCTAACAGGCTTTGGGATTTTTTTTTTGGGGGGGGGGGGGGTTGTTTTTTGTCTGTTTGGTTTGTTTTTAAAAGATCGTCAAAAAGATACAGCAGAACTGCTCTTTTTCCTCAATACCTCTCTCTGGAAAACAACAAACTTTCACATACACTCCTGGATGGAGCAATGCATTGCTACTAAAGCATCAATTCAGCTCAATTCAGCTGATCAGCAAAGGTGCAACACAACCGAAACCAACAGATTGTGCTGGGGAACTTCAGATAACTGTAACAGAAAAGCTGCTGCTAAGTTCAACCTGTAAACTAGCCTGCTCTGAGGAAAGGGGCTGGTCTTTATTGCTACTTGCTTTGCTGAATGGGACTCATTCAGGAAGAAACTGGGATCTGCAGGAAGGAAAAACATTTCAGAGAGGTCAGGGCAGAGCAGCAAATGCTCAAATGCCTTCCCATCACCTGAGCTTCTGGGAACAAGAAACTGTACAAGGTATTTGCTGAAGTAGTTTCACTACATCTGGGAAACAGAAGCCTTTACGAGATATATCTTGTCATAGCTCCTGCAACGTGGCCAAATAAGAAATACCAAAAGAAGAAATCAATGTTACCAGAACATGGACTGATGCCAGTAGGGTTTTGCAGCTCCTGTCATGTTTTCTCCAGCTAGTCTTCCACTCACAACAGCATGATCATGGTGCTCTACACGTCTCCTACCTAGTTTGATATCATAGAAGCAGGCAGCATCCCCTGCCTTAAAAAGAATCATTCAGTGAGAACTGAACATTGACGTCAAAAGCTTAAATTAATGCACAAACAAAAAAAGCACTGGGAAGCGAACAAAGTGAAACTATGACCTGAGTTCTTCTGACAAACCCCAAACACCACCACTTCCTCATACCACTCCCCAGGCTACCCAAGTCCCAATTTCTTGGCATTTTTTACCAATCTTCAGAAAAATAAGACAGCATCAGGTACGTTTTCCCAGAGGAATCAGTCTCAACTCCCACCAAAGGGACTCTTACGCAACAGAGTAATCCGTGCTATCTTTAGGTTACCCCAGCTCCTCTTGCACAGCATAAATATTCAAAAACTTGCACAGTCGTTACCACAGCAACAAAGTGTGCTGTGGTGCATGAACAGACTCCATGGCTGCCGACAGGATCTGCACTATGATTGGTCTCATCACTTGCTATTTTTTGCCCCATTCACCTAATAGAGGTACACCAGCCCCCATAACTGTGTATTCTGATTGCGTCAACATAACCAGCAGACAGAAAACTCCTCTGCACATACTCACCACCCAGATATTGGAGCGTGCCTGCAGCTCTGCATTCACCCTGAACCCTCCAAAGTCAGAGTCCACCTCCAGCCCAGCTGACTTTGCTAATTCCACATTAGGCTCCAGCCCTACTGCAGCCACAATATGATCAGTCTCCACCTGTTTGGGAATTCATAATTATTATCTTAATTCTCTCAATGCCCCTGCAAACTTTACCCTCTCCCTGCTTTTAAATTTACCTTTCGGCCATCTTTCAGTTTAATCATCAGCCGATTGCCACAGACAGAGACAGACTTGACCACAGCGTTAGGCATGACATTAACACCCTCTGGAAACAAACATAGGAAACATAACTGCTTGCTCACAGGTAGACAGATTTCACCTGAAGCAGGCATCTTTGATGCCAACAGATGCAGGCAGAGCAGGGGCCAGGTAAGGAACCGAGGGAGAAACCACCTTATCTTTGCTGCATGTGCCAGTACAGTTTTGAGTGAAGCATGAGGAGAAACAAACCCCGCGAAAAAATTTGAAAGAGCTACTGAAATGACAATCAGAAGTACACGTCTTGTATGATGACAAAGTCATATCCAAAAGAACTCCCCAAGACAGGTTTTCAGGCAGTAGGGACATTCAATTACCTATTGCTCTGTCACAGCCAGACCCAGAGGTCCAACAAGGCAGCTTCCATAAACAAAGTAACTCAGATCTGTGGGTTATCACGCCCTGCCATCTGCAGCACCAACTATATCCCTCCTCCCTCTATCCCCACTTCACTTACCAATGCACTGGAATATATTCTGCACTTAATATAGCAAATGGAAAACAGGTATCTTGGATCTTACCAACTTTATCAGCTACACACTACAGCAGCTGGCCTTACAAAGGTATATGCATAAGGCATAGGGCTACACAACCCTTCTCTCAAAGTGACTCTAGGATGACTGCATTAGGCTGTAAGAAGTAAAATTATTCAAGGCTAGAGCAATTCAGAAAAGAACAGGCAATTATTGTAAGACAACTTTGGTTCCAGATTACAGAGGCCGTTAAAGTAACTCGCAGGTACGGCAGCAGGGATCATTCTGTGCAGGAACAGCCAGAGGGAAAATCTCACTGGCATCAGCATGCATATTTGCTTGGCTTTCCCAGAGGAACTGCTAAGAAGCCACGGCAGCTCTGTGTTACCCAAGCTGCCTGAACTGCAACTTGTTCTGTTCTGCACCTGGGCCACCCTGCAAGGGACCAAGTCTTCCTGAGGCTCCACTGACAAAACAAGGAGAGAGCTCTATTTCACAAGAAAGAGCTACACAACAGCCACTGGCCTGAACACCACAGCTCTGCCACTTGCAGAGGAAGAACAACGAAGTGCAGCTTCACCTCTTCTGACTTTCTCTGTGGTCCAGTTGCTCAGATATTCAGGCAAGACTTTGCCCATATTGCCATTCTCTGGAAACAGCTGAATCACCTCCAGGCCTCTGGTTCGTGCTGAAAGGAAAGCAAAGAGCAGGCTTCTTACAACCCATGGATAAAGAGCAGCAGCACAGACTTCAGGACACAAGCATATGCTTTACTTTACGCAAGGAGCTTGACAGGATTTTCCAGAACCAGGAGTTCTGGCTCCCAGGTTTTCCACAGGAGTCACAAAGTGACTGACCACTGTTTCACATACACCTGCAAACTCTAGGATAACAGACAGCAGACTTCTAAGTAAAATGCTTAGTATTTTGGAGAAAACTTCCTTTAATAGAAAAACTACCATAAAGACACTGCTCAAAAAGCTGCACGCACTTGACAGTAAGAATCCAGCTGTTCACAGCCTCTTTGAAATAATAGTTTTAGGGTGGCTTTTAGCATTGAGAGAGCAAATATAACTTTTTACAGGGTGGAATGACTTTACAACATGCACTGGCCTGCAGAGCTTCCAGGAAGCCCAACTTACAAAAATCTTTTTGGTCAGGGGCTGGTTGACAGCTAGCGAGAAAGAAAATGGAAAACCAGGTCAGGCCGTATAGCCAACAAAGTACATGCACATTAAGGTTATTTCAGGCAAGCCACAAGTCTGTGCAAAAACAAAGCCGTCAGAGAATGAAAAAGAAGTTTATAATGTCAAGCTGCTTACATTCAATGTCTATCACTTCTGTCAAGGTGCACACTGAAGACAAGCTGCCTGCAGAAGCACACTTACCTCTTCTTCCCAGAGCACAGGCCAGCTCACTGCCAAGAAAACCACCACCAATAATTGTGATGGACTTGACTTCTCTTGAAATCTTCTCCAGACTTTTGAAGTCCTCAATCTGTAAGAAGATTTATTCTCATCTCAAATAGCCTCAAACAGGAATGGCAGCAGAAGATATTTTTCTCCAGTTTCTCCCTTTGAAATAAGAGCAACTCTCTCCCCAACTTAGAAAGGGAAACAGGTTTCCCCTTCCTCCTGTTTGTCTATTGCACAGAAAAAACTCTCTGGCTTCCTCATGTTTGCCTGGACAGGGAAAAGCTTGCACAATCTCAGATTCCTGCACTTTCCCCTAACTTTGAAGAGCAATTACAATAAAGCTTCTAGACACAAATGCACTACAGCACATACAGTACTATAAGGATGCCACAGCTCACGTCATCCATCTTTCCCCTCCCACAGTTGAGCAGAGCAGACCTTAGGGGAAGTCCAGCACAGAGCAGAAAGTTCCCACATGGCTTCTTATTCCTGATTCATTCCCTGAACTAGACTAAGGAGAAGGTTGCATGCCTGTTCTAAATCCCATGTTTTCAAGAAAAGTGGAGCTTGTCAACAAAAACCAGCTCTACAGCAAAAAACAGAAGACCACTGACCAACTTCCATGTCTTTTATTCACTTTGTCCCAAGGCACAGGATGAAGGTGAAGTGCCACAAAGAAGGCATAGATATCAGTTTATTAGTTCATCAGAAGACAGTCTAAGCCGACCCAAGAGCTACCATGAACACTCAACTTCATATTCAGCTAAAATTTCAGAGCATGAGAGCAGTCTCTGTCCTGTCTCAGACCAAAGGCCAACCTCTCGCCTGTGTGCTGCAGAACTGTGGCACACACTTATTCGAGAGGGGTGTCAGGCTGGAGTACTAAGCTAGCTTCCTGTGTCTACTCACAGTCCTGAAGCCACACACTGCTTACAGTCCAAACTGACTTGCAGAGCTTACATTGCTCATGTTTTTAAAAGGCCTGGAAGGTGCAGCAAAGTCATACAGGAAGGAAACTAAAAAAAAAAAAAAACCCAACCCAAAAACCCAAAACAAAACAGAAAACCCAAACAAACAAAAAACCCAATCAAAAGAAAATTTAAAACCCCACACATTATTACAGCTCTCAGGCCTCAGGCAAGCAGATGAGTGGTCTAGTAGACTCTACCCTGTTTACCTGCCTGGGGAAAAAGGAATAAATAGTAAATGGACTCCTGGTTACCAGCTGAGGGAAGCAGCTGCCATGGTAAGGCTGTCCTGGATCCAAACCAGAAGAGTTAAAAAGCTGAAAATAGTGGTAGTGACTCTGTTTTTTTCAACCTCACTCCAGGACTAGCAGCACTTGGAGATTACCTTTCGGAACAGTGTCAGCCTTTGTTGTACATCTTTTCCTGCTCTTTCAATGGCGGGTAGGTTCCTTGGGGAACCACCTGAGAACAAGGGCAGGGAGAGAGAGAGAGAGAAAGAGAGACTAATGAGCCAGTGACATGGCCACAGTCTATCCAGACAACGCAAAGCTATCTTTAATCTGGACTGTGCTTTCCAGACTGTTACAATATGCTCTATTCCCTGTTGCTGTCTGGGTTTTTAACATGAATGACCTTCTGTGTGGGCAGTAGGTGACCTAGCAGTCACCCAGGGGAAGAAGATCTAATGCAATCTATACACCTCGCTCCACTGACTGAAGACAGCCATTTCCACTTTAACCACAGATGGCTGTAGGGTTAGATGCTGGAGCAGTGCTCTGCCCAAGCAAGAGCTGGTTGTTCTGCTTGCTACTGCTACAGGCAGGATTTGAAGAGGCTGGCCTGTATAGGAGTTCCTTTACTGAGCTGCTAGGGCAGTCACCTTTTCCTCCTTCCCTGCTGATTTTCACAGGGCAAAACCTTGAACATCCCAAAGAAGCTGGCTGACACGACGCAAGTGAAAAACCCAGTGGCATGGGTGCCTGTATGGCTGTCCTTCACGTGACTGCTCTGCCAAGTGTTTGACACATACTGCAGAAACTTCCTTATCAGATAAATGCCACTGAAATAAAAAGCCTGGCACAAGACAAAGAACAAAGAGAAAAAACTCAACAGCTTACCAGTGGCAATTAGACATTTGTCATAGGATATCTGGGTACCATCACTGAGTTTCACTATGTTGCCTCTAACATCCATATGCACAACCTGCAAAATTAAACAAGCAGGAGAGCTCAAGTTTCCATGCACTGTAGGCTATTCAAGTTAAACTGCACAGACTATTGATCAGAGAAGCAAACTTGGATGTAATATTCTCCCACCTTCAAGTTTAGGGGGGTGGGAGGGGGGAAGGGAGAAGACTGAAAGTAGGAATTGAGACAACTTCTTTGGCAGCCATCATAGATCAGGCTGATCTTCCCAGGATCTGAGTCTAAGAAATGGACTCAGACACCTAGTGTAGCTCAGCAGTAAGAGGAGTCACTGAAATCTTATTTTAGCAACATATAAAAAAAACTGAGGAAGCAAATATATTAGAAGCCTCACCATAAACTTCTCCACCTTCCTGCTGCCTCTGCACAACACTCTTCCTCCCATTATAACCCACTACTCAGATGACTCTACTCTCCTTACCTCACCCTCTGATCAACATATAGCCATTTTGTCACACCCTGTCTCTAAGATCTACATATTCTTGTCCCATGTCCAAACTCTGGGTTTATCCTTCCCTCAGCTCACTACTATTCTTCATAGCTTCTCCTGTTTTCAGACTTCACTCATGCTGTCCTTAAGATTAGCATAGTCCCTGCATCATCGTACACACTTTTCCCAAACTTGTACACATTCTCTGCCTCACCCAACCCTCCACACCACCATCTACAGTTGTTTAGTTTCAGCTTAGAGCACAAGCTCTGCTTGGGAAGAACTGTATGATGCTAGAACAAGAGCTAGTGCTGTACCTACCTTCTTGCCACAGAGAACTGCTACTCCACCATTTTCTACAAGAGGTAGATCACGAACAGGCACATAGAATGATGGCGGCTGGAAATATATACTGAAAAAAGCTCCATTATCAAATGGGTTCCGCTTTCTCTGTGATACCAACTATTCAGCAATTACCAATGATACAAAGACAACTCTATGCATCCATAACAAGCTCCAGAATTCTTATTTATCTATTTTTAAGAATTAGGGTCTTCACACTGTTGAAGTTCAAGGGTTTAGATCAGTAAGGCTTTATCACAAAAGTCACAAGAATCAAATGAGAGCCAGGGTCCTTGAACCTCTGCTCTAAACTGTGAAGCTACACCCTCACCTTTACTATTAACTTATTTCACAGGATTTCTGCCAGTGGTGGTGTATGTCTAAGAGAATCACAGCAAAATTCAAGAGGTATTAAGTACCGAGCTAACCCTCATGTGTGAAGCAGCACTCCTCTTGACAACTGCCAGCACTGCCACACCTTTCAATCTGCTCCTTAGCACTCGACTGACTTGCTTGTAACATCTCGGCATCTCTGGGAAGCCGCACTCCATGAGTCTGCAGCCGACATCCTGGAGTCTCATTGACTCCACAGGGCAGTCAGTCAGCTACTCCAGTGCAAAACAACACACAAGCTCTGCACACAGCATGCAATGCTCTGTCCCTTCTTCCATCAGCCTAGTGACAACGCACACAGACACACGCACCCCAGGACCCTCTTCATAGCAGACACAAACACAGAACTCTACCCAGTGATTTGTCCACACAGCACTCTGGGGTCCTTCAGAGTTCTGCAGTGGCGCTCTCACAAGAACAGTTTAATCACTGTCAGCTTTTCATTAAACACTCTCCTTTGCCCTTGTGTCCTGGTTTCAGCTGCAATAGAGTTAATTGTTTTCCTAGCAGTTGGTATAGTGTTATGGTTTGGGTTCAGTTTGAGAAGAATGTTGATAATACACTGATGTTTTCAGTTGTTGCTAAGTAGTGTTTAGACTAAGTTAAGGATTTTTCAGCTTCTCATGCCCAGCCAGCAAGAAGGCTGGAGGGGCACAAGAAGTTGGCAGGGGACACAGCCAGGGAAGCTGGCCCAAACTGGCCAAAGGGATATTCCATACCATGGGACATCACGTCTAGTATATAAACTGGGGGGAGGTGGCCTGGGGGGAGGATCACCACGCGGGAACTAACTGGATATCAGTCAGCAGGTGGTGAGCATTGTGCATCACTTGTATATTCCAATTCTTTTATTATCATTATTGTCATTTTATTCTTGTTATCACTATTAGTTTCTTCCCTTCTGTTCTATTATACTGTTCTTATCTCAACCCACAAGTTTTACTTCCCCCCCCATCCCACTGGGTGTGGGGGGAGTGAGTGAGAGGCTGCATGGTGCTTAGTTACTGGCTGGGGTTAAACCACGACACCTTGCTACCCGTAAGTGACACATACCTTCTCTCCTTGCCATTCCACTGTTTGAATCGCAGAGTCTCTGTCACATTTGGATCATCTGAAAACCAGAGTTCTTTGGAAAGAGGTGGACGCATATAGGGCAGGGCAGGATCTTCAGACACAATCAGCACCTTTAATTGGTCATTAAACATATCAGCTGCACCGATGCCAGGCAAATGCCAACACACACTACAGAGGCTCTGAAGCAAGCACAGTATTCAATCATCCCCACAAGTCTCATCTAGAACAGGGCATCCCTTACCCGGGCACCAGGGTCACGAGCCCGAATGGATCTGGCAGCAGCAAAAGCAGCAGTTCCTCCACCGATCAGCAGGAAAGGAACATGAGATGGGACCTCAGGGCGAGCTCCCGGAGCTGCAGGTGACAGATTGGACAGCTTACTGCAAACACAGCAGGGAAGATGGCCCAGCCCCAACGAATAGAGTATGTCACCAGATGCCTTTCACATAGAGACTTCCTTTGGCAAATTGCCCTTCAAATACCTTCTCCTCCCCTTCCCTTCCACCCCAATATACTTCCCAAGAACAATGCTGCTGCTTCACTCAAAGCTGGCTCCCTGCATAAATCAAACTGTCAGATTTCAGCAAATTATTTTTTTTAAGCTAGATCTGCATAGCTGAGCTCAATGGCAACCTTAGAGTTTTAGAATAGGCCAGCAGCACAGCTTTTATCACATGGCTTTAGCTCCTCTATTACAGACCTGCTTTTCTCTGGTTTAAGATGTTAAGAACAGGAATGATCTACATAACGAGCTTGAAATACCACTATTTGGACAGGCTGTTAACAGGTTTCAAGCCTTACTCTGAACAGGTGCTACTTGTCCAGTAGACTCTCAAAGAGCTTAATTTTATAAATTGATCTATTTAAGAACGCTGCTTACATTTGCACAGCTGGGTGAAGTGGTTGCGAAGTCAAAGACCCACAAAGTTAATTTCCAGCATTAAATACGCAATTTCAGAAGCTTCATATAAGATCAGGACATTCTCTGTACAGTAGATTCAGGATGGCAAAACCATGCTCTGGCCAAACAACACACTAGAGATCCAAGTGACAGTCTGCCGAGTTAGCAAGAGGGACGTACCCAAAAGATTATTCAAAACACCAGAAGAGATATGGCCTGGGCATCATTCAAATCAGAAAACAATTTTCAAAATTATTTGGAAAATACGAACGGCAAATTGTTTGATCTAGCTACACGTCTTCTTTATGAACACAAATTAACCTGTGAGCAAGACCAAAACTCTGGACTGGTCATTCAGTGAACAGTTTATAAGAAAAGTAAAGTTCCCTAAAATACCAAGGCATATTTTTCTGTAATTGTATTCTGAAAGGAGACCAACTTTTGAGTTCCTACCAGAACGCACTTCTTCCCACATGCAGGTCCTGTTTCTAAGCAACATGCAGTTAAACCATATGTAGGAATAAAACAGTCAGTTAAATATTACTATCAAGACTCACCTGCTGTGCCCTGAGAAGCAGCATCTGTATCTGAAAGAGAAGACACCAGCTCAATTCAGTGAAGCACAGGCTATCAAGGATACTGCAGTTAGGAAGCTGTTCAGTTCAGGGCTGACTCAAGGAGACCATAGGATTAACAGGCTCTCCACTACAAAGGGACAGAGTCTCCAGAAATGTAGACTTTCTAATACCTCTGTTTTCAGCATTTAGGCTCTCGCTCTGTCCTGCAGCCTCAACCCTGATAAATGTGTTTTATCCTCTTCCTCAAAACAAAGCAATCAGTTTTCTGTCCTGTCTGCAAGATATTCTTTCTGTTGGTTTCCTAGTAAAGTGATGCAACACACCCTATCTTCTATGAACTAAAGCCACTGTTATTACAAAATATATCATCCTTTCGCTCAGTAGTTCAGACACTGCAGTTTGAGGTCTCATAAATTAAGAGAGACCTTCAACGAGCAACCTGTGGTCCACATACAGCCTGCAAGGCATCATCAAGAGCCTCACTAATTGTTCCGATTTCTCCCTCTACACGTGGCCCAAGCACAATACTTCTCGCATGCCGAGCCCACTATGTACAGGACAGGCACGTGGCACAGCACAGAGGATTCTGTGCTGGCAGACCACATTATCCCTTTGGAATCACCGTGTCTTTGCCAGACTGCGTAAGTGTAAAAGCCAAAAGCAGGGCTAACTCTTTTCTCCTTTTATTACAGAAGGCATAAACAGCAGAAAGGAGCCCCGAGAGACAACCTAATTTATCCTCATGATTATCTGCAAAACAGAGCCTTGTTCTGGGTCATGGAAAGCTAGCACCATCTTCTACGCTAGGAAGACATGGGAATTCATAAACAACGGAATGCACTGAGAAGTGACAATGCTGTGAAAGCTCAGCTTATGCTAATCTGTGATTTCAGAAGGGCTCTGTTCCATTTGTTTTAGAGGTCTCAAGTCAGCAGCTTATGAAAAACAGACCCAAACCTAGAACTAGCAGGCTAGTACCCACCAGAAGGAGACAATTCTTTTTCTTGAGATCGCGTAGTTATCGTTGTGACACGGCTGGTGAAACGCTCTTTGTTTTCTTTCAATGTTCTGTATACCTGGAGACAGACAAGGAGGTATTTACCTTGTATATCTTTCAGCATCAAGGCACCATTCTGCTTCTACCCCCCGACAGGCTTTTGTCTACCCTGTTTGCTCAGAAAAGCCATCTGCTTTCAATTAAAGCACACGAATCAAAATATACCTCACTAAAAAAGTGCCCATAAAGGTATGTATATATAGCTACAAGAGGAATGCACTCAGAAAACGATCTGCTCCACACACAATGTGATGAATCTCAGTTGTCTGGTTGCTTTCCATAAGCAAGCAATCAACCTTTCTGCAGATGTTTGGCCTTTGGGCTGCAGACCTGTTTCAAGAGGAACCAGATACAACAAAGCAAATGTAGTCAAACAGACCCCAAGGCTATCTGCAAGCTAGGCCATGGCACACAGCACAACACAAGACTGCAGAAAAGGAAGACAAATTCAAGGCAAAAAGCAACTCCCAGCTTCAAAAGCCAAGAGCAGCTGGACAGAACAAGCCAACAACCTTACTGGCTTTCTTTAGGCCAGATGTTACAGGCACAAGGTTAGCAGTGGTAACATCGCTGATGTTAGCAGTGCTCTTCAGACACAAGAGCGTGGCTGTTCTAGGTAACAGCCTTCAGCGGGAAGACGTTCTTGTGTTTGAATGCTGACCTTCTGTTTATTTGTCTGTTAAACTCAGGATACAGTATTGAGTATAGCCTGCATGTTCTAGGGATACAATTTAGTGGTACAGACAAGGAGGGAACATCACTTAAGACATCATGTTAACTTCCAAGAAAAAATTGGTAATGTAGAGAAGCAGAAGACAATGAGACTGCTGGAAGCAGGTCACAATATGACATTTCCCCCACAGTTAACAAATTAGAGGGAAGCAAACAATTTTTTTAAGGCAAAACCTAGCCTTGCTAATAATCCATATCACATGTGCACGACATTAGCTTTCATTTTGCATTGCTCATAAAAGAGAAAAAAACTATGAAGACAGTCTGAAACACAACCATCTATCCAATTACTGTATTTTGAATTGTGAAAGAATATTAAAACTAGAACATTTCCAGCAAGAAATAAAAGCCTCCTAAATGTGAAGGCATGACAGCTGCAGCTGATGCCAAACCACTTACTGTTTGTTAGCTAACCAAGTGTTATGACATCCAAACTATGAACAAAAGTTAATTCCTTTGGGGAATTGGAATCTCTTTTACTCCCTAGACATTTTGCATTTTACCAATCTCCACAATTAGGTGTTTTATAACACAGCAAATAGTCTCAAACAAGAACTGAGGAATTTAATGACAGGCAGACAAAAGCATATCCAGGGAACTGAAACAATGTCAAAAATAGCAGAAAACAAGAACTCGTCAGTGTTGAAAAGAATTAAGATAAAGATATTTTAAAAGCCTTTTGCTTAAACATATAAAAGTCAAGATTAACAAAACTACCTCTGCTTTTGCAAGCAGAACCATGAAGTTTTTAAGCAAGTCTGAAGGGCAGCATACAGCAAATTAAATCTGATCCCTGAGGAGAAAAATGACTATTATATACAAGCAAAATATCAAATCAGGTCTTCAGGATAAATTTCTCCAAAGGGACAATGCCAAATTCTTTCTAGTCAGAAACATAGCTGTGTACTTTGCCAGCTAACAGAGTGGTATTTCAGTGCTCTTCTCTGAAGAAATCATGAAGTTAAACAAGTTTTCTTTTCTTTCCTCTAGCATACTTATATTTAGTTATTTCCTTTTTTTGCATGCCAACATTACTGATATCAGAATAGATGCATTAATTAATTTGCGCCTTTCCGATGGTTACAAATCAAAGATGGCCAGTTTGGGGTTTAGATTTATTTAATGTGGAAAAGTTAATATTGAGGCAATTTTCCCCACTAAGAACTACACTGAGAGTATCAAATCTGTAAACTTAAATTATTTGACAATGTCCCTTGAAATTAAATATCTGAGGCCAGGGAGCACAAAGACAGTTTAGTTAAAGTAAATGGCTAACTTGGTATGATACACAGAAAGGTACCCTCCCTCCACCCTCTCACCCAATTAAAACACATTTATTTAAGCATCTTACATAATAAGCTCCTGTCCCAGTGACTGTTCCTCCTACAATTAAGTATAACAATAGGTTGCTGCCAGCTTTGCCAGGAACACCTGAAGACGTCAGTGATCTAGAAGGGCATCTTAGATGATGACATTGCAAAACTGTAGGTGAGGACAGGCAATGAAAGAGAAGAGAGGGAAAGAGCCAAATATTAAGAAGGACTCTTGATTAAACAGATCTTGGGAAAAGCAGAATGTGCTTTGTAATTTCAGTTACCTTGTTTGCCAAAAAAAGTATAGCAGGGCACAGTAAAGAATATTTAAAGGGAATAGGAAAAGACTTCTCCTCCGTGCACTGTTTTGAATTTTTTTTTATTTCTCAGGAGCCTTCTGCATGTCAAGTTTCATTAGGAGAAAATCAGGACTCGGAACTTTCAAGGACTATGATCCTCTAAGAGAAAGAATTTTGAAACAAAACTTAGGACCCATCCGCTCCTAGGTAATGCTGCTGGGATTCAGCTGTCTGGGAATGTGATTTACTCTCTAAGTCAGGCTGAAAAGCTTTATCCTTTTGAATCTTTTGAGTAGGAGATAAATGTATGCTCGCCAATTTGGGGTTGATCTGGTATACTTACACAAGCTAAACACTGACGTTCTGAATTGAGATTTGGCAAAGAATGGTTTACTTTGGTATTAAAAGCATATGCCATCCAACTCTCCCTGAACTATATGCTACTATCACATACAAGACAACAGACAGAGCTGTGGTTGGTCATAGTATGTAAAAAGCAGAGTGCTTTTATAGTAAAAAAACCTAAAAGGTAACTGAAATTACAGTTAAAAAAAATAATTATCATAAGTAGTTAATTTCCAGCCAGCTCAGTTAGCTCCCCTTGAAGTTTTCTGAAGGAGGAAATAGCTACAGAGATAAAAAGCTAAGTAAAGTTAGCTGAAATACAGCAAATGCTTGACAGGAGAGATGTATTGCAGCTTCTTTCCGTGAACTACCTTTCTACTTACATAGGCACCCGCTCCTAATGTTGATAAGCCCACAATAAGGACAAAAACAGAACTATCGCCTTTGCCCCCAGGCACACCAGAGCTAGCCACTTGTCTGCTCATCTGCAGTTTTATGGGAACATTCCAGCGCTGCAACAAGTTGCCTGAGGAATACAATTTATTAGAGAAAAACACAAAAAGACTGTCAATACAAAGTTATGTGTTTAAATTTAGAGATCAAGTAATTTCTGAAACCAAGTAAACAAGCTACTTGTTTGAAAAGCCCAGTACCACATCTGAGTGACTGCAGTGAATTATTCTCTGCCACAACAAACAGCTCCAGGCAGTTGTGGATACCAAAACCATCTGTTAAGATCAAAGGGTAACTGAACAAATTAATAGCAGGAACATCTACTAGGAAGCTAGAAAGACTATCTTCAGCTGCAGGAGCCTTCAAGCCACATACTGCTGGGAGAGTACATCAGAGATGCACGTGTTTGCTGCGCGTTTGCTGTTCTTACGCCCTTCTCCAGGCCTCTCCTGTCCGAGGCAGGCATCGGTCTAAAGATGTGTCTTGCTCCACCACATGGGAGCAGAGGTTAACGTAACCTCGTTAGGACAAGCAGCAGGCATGGTTATACCAGCAAAAAATCCCTTTGCCAACACAGCTTATTCCACTGAGGCAAACTACCAGCAGAAAGAGGCTTCTGCTGACAAAAAGGGCATCCCAAATGAAAAGGAGTAGCAAGGCTCACCAGTCCAGACCAATGCACCTACCAGCACACAAGCAAGACAAAGAGCCCAGCTAGCTGAACAGCTATATAACATTTTATTTTACTGTAGTTTAACCGCAGACTCCCGCCTGTCCCAATTAGGTCTCTAAACGGTGCAACCGCGGCGATGGCTCCGAGCGCTGTGCGTTTATAACGCAGCCGGCCAGCTGAAGCTTGCAGAAGTGGTTGGGCTTTTCTGCCGAACGGATTCCCCCCTGACGCAGAAAACACCCTCCTCCTCCGCTCAGGCGGCATGCAGGCTGCTATACCCCTTTGATCTCTTTGCCTAAAGGCACGCTGTTGCGATGCAAACCCGCAGCAACATCGCACGCATCCAAATGGATAAAAAATACGCTAAACAGCTCCACCTAACTTAGAGTTTCCCAAAACACACAAGTTTTCCCTCCCGTTCCCGGGAGCCGAGCATCTGCACTTCCACCCCCCAGCACCCCGGTCCATTCCGCCACCACGCCATTTTCCACCCCCAAACCTCCTCCGACGGGGCTGCCGGCGGAGCCGAGCACTCCGCCCTTCCGCTGCACCGAGCGCAGACCGGTGCCCGGCGCCGACTTCGCCGCCAAAAGCGGCGTTTTGTCAAATTACCTCCTAATTCAGCAGCCGCCCAACGCCGCCGCCGGAACGGCGCTCCGGATGCCCTCTGCCCGGCTAACGGGAACCGAGAGCCCCCGAGCAAGCTGCAGCTTTAGAAAAACGCGGTTCCCGACCGCGACCGGTTCCCCCGGGCAGCGGCCCAGCGGGGAGGGAGAGAGCGCCGTGCCGTGCCGGGCCGCCGCTCCGCGGGAAAGGACGCCCGGACCCGCGTATGGGGAAGAAGCCAGCGGCAGGGACGACGCCCGCCACCCTCACCCAGACCCGGACCCGCCGCCGCCCCACGCGAGACGCCCCGATCCGGGC